CTCTCTCTCTCTCTCTCTCTCACTCTCTCTCTAGCTGGGAGGAAAGTCTTACCATACCCGCCTCCACAATGCTCCGCCAGCGCCTCATGCAGACCCTCCGAACTCGCGGCGGTTCAGCCAACGGTCCGAGCCGGTGGACCAGCCCGGGCCACGAGGAGCAACCCAAAGGTTACCTCTTCAACCGGACCCCGCTGACTCCAGGCCAGACTCGAAAATGGGAGGACTGGGAGCTCCCTTGCTACGTCACCAGCTTCCTCACCATCGTTATCCTTGGCGTCGGCCTCAACGCCAAGCCCGATCTCACCATCGAGACCTGGGCCCACCAGAAAGCCCTCGAACGGCTCGAGATCGAGCAGGCCGGCCTTTCTGTTGCTGGGTCGTCTGAATCTGACTGAAATTCGATCTGGGTATGCCGGTTCGTTCGTTCTCAGATCGGTCCTTCTTTTTTGAGTTGAAATGGGTTTTCGGTTGTTGATATGATATGTAGTTGAAATAAGGGTTTGGGGATGTTTATTGGGCTTTTCATGTGAAGCTTGATCACTTCATAATTTAGCTGTTTTAATTGTTTGAATGTTTAACTGATTAATGTTTTCAAATAGTTCATCTTTTTCTTGCCTCTAATTACAGTTTTTATGTTTATAATTTCAATTATCTAGTGCTATCAGTAGCTAAATGGTAGGAATAGGATAGAGACATTTGTAGAAATTCTATGACTTGGATGTAATCTGTGTGCATAAATGGGCACCTGGACTTGAACCATTTTGTCATGCTTACAGATTTACAGTGTTGACTATTGGTCTGTGTTGAAGACCATAAATAGTACAAATTTGTTGTAGTTTTTGGTTAGAATGATGCTCGATGTGTAAAAAAAGTTTTATTAAAGGATGTGACGATTTACATGGACGGCTACTTGCGGTATGCTTAGGGCAGGGTTGTGTAATGCGCTTGTTATTGCGTATAAGCTCTAGCATCAGTTCCTAAACTAAACATTCTCGAACTATTGAGTGCATTAGTATTTTTCTTTTTCATATAATTGTGTCGTAGAGAGCATAAGTGGGAAGGGTTAAAGTGCTGAATCATGACATTGGAGCCAGGAATTGTGATTGCCATGAGTTTCTACAAATCACCTTAAGAATATAAATGTGTGGACAATGATCGAAAAATTTTCTCTGAAATTTTGGAAGTATTTGGGTTGCTAAATAAAACTGTATTCAAAGGTTTTTATTAATACTGTATTATGAGCAGAGTCTCAGTGATGTAATAAAATTAATGAGGTTGCTTGACCCTTTTAAATGAATATTCATTTGGTTTAC